TCTCGGTATCCTAGCTGTGTCTGCTCCATGGACAACTTTTAAGGTAGAAAAGGGATGAGTACATTTGTACTTCTTTGCTGTAGAAAAATTTTCCGCTCATTTTCCCAGATTTACTTTTCACGAGTGACATTCTGGAACATTCACGGCAGTACTGAGGGTATCTTGTTACAGAGCTTGGCAGCCAGTTCTACCAAGCTGTGCATTTCACAACCATTACGCTGTGACGTAGCGGCGACTCATTGGCTGTTTTCACACGGCCCTCTAACTTCCATTCATTGATAAATCCTGTGATCTTTGACCCCACTTCCTTTTATAGCAAAGAGACCGTGACGTTTCAATGATGAATATTTATGACCAATGAAATCTCTCAGAAACTCAGAAAAATCAATATAAGAGCGATTTCTGTGTTTACGTGTCTCAGAATAAGATTCAGCGTTTCAAAACAAAACAGACTGTCGACTATACTAGTAAAACGTTTAACGGAATATTTTCAAGATTAACAAGACATCAAGACAGAATCTGAGAAGCGGAAAAGGTATATTTACTCTATGTTTATAAACATTAGTGCGTAAACTACCGCGTGTACGATTTACAATACGAACATTGTGTCTCCGAATACAGGTACCCTATGTTTTTTATTATAGTTTTATGTATGGGCTAATAATACACATGCTAAACGTGATATATATGTATATGTTAGATAAAAATGTATCAGATATGGTATGTCTTAATACNTGTTTCCAGCTGTGTACTGACAGCATTCCTTTACTTAAGCATTTTTTTTTTTTTTGGGGGGGACTGTTTTTTTTTTTTTTCGCCCTCTCGCACCGATTTTGGGGTACTCAGAGGATGTCATCCATAAAAATAAAAAAGTGTGGCCTAAACAAGTATTTATGCCAAGGTGACCAACCGTAACGGACCAGCTACTACTATTTCTACCCCCTGCTGACTTACGTTTTGTATACTCAGAAACAAGACATTCCCATGTAATTGTGATATAATAATGTATTGTGAGAAGTCAATAGACAAGGGCAGCTGCTCTGTTTATTATAAAGCAGAGATAAAGGACAGGGCACGTGGGATGGTCGCGGACTCGATTCATCAGAGTCAGACCACGATGTGCGGATGTAAAATTAGCATAATTCCAGGAAGGGTTAGAGGTCGGTTAAATATCGGAAGTTTGTTGGATATAAAAGGGAACCACTTCAATGTGGTGGTTTCAGTGACTGTTTACAAATCAACAGCGCGGTAAGCGAGGCCACATCATAAAAATCAATAATCTATTTAGGAGCAGGTCTGTGATCGGTAGACAGCATACGCAGTTACGAGAACGACCATCAAAACGCAGGTAAATTGTAAAATAATGTTGATAGCAGCTCAGATATTAACTTCGTTCACTTTATTACTCGACTGAATTCAGTTAATTTGTAGCTTTTGTCGGCCGTTTGTAAATTGTTAAGTCTTTGCATTTGCAAACGCGTACATGTATGTCAATTTTAAGGGAAATAGTGTTATGTTTATTATTGGCTGCAAACTGGCATTAAATCAGTGAAGATTCAGGTAGGCTTGCCAAAATTGCCTTCGTCTCTGTGCGAGTAATTTACTATTGATTCGGCGGGTGAAAGCCAGTACTAAATGCCACACTGAAGGAATTTGCGTCATAGAGCTATTCCTGAGAGGGCGACTATGTCCTCTACTGCAAGCGTAAATTGAAAAGAAATCCAATTTTCTTGCTTGAAAAGTTGTTGCGCTTTATATCTTGGAGGTGTGCCAAGATTTCTACTTTCTCCCCAAATATGTTAATAATGATTCCCAAAGGCTTAGAATACCTATTTACTCAGGCAGGACGTAGTCAGAAGAGAGCGAGTCACTGTCTGCGCTATGAACTGATAATAGGCCTAAGGATATGAACAATATTATTTTATGGGTTTATTCCAATAAATTCATACAGGACAACATTTTTGCATCAAGAAGTTTAGTTATTGATGACTAATACAGCAACTTGGTGGATTTCTTTTGGTTTCTGGAAAAATCACCAATATTCCCCTCTTGATATTAGAAATTTGAAGAGCTGAATGATAGGTCTAAACTGCACCAAGTGGCACCGTTTGCCCTCCAAAACACTGACCCCCCCCCCCCTTCAAATAATCCTGGATCCATCCCTGCAACATGCCCATTCAAAATCTTGTTAGCTTCATGAGCTGTAAAAACTTCATATTTTGAGAATATGCTCTTAATATTGTACAACGGCAAAAATAGGTGATGATGAATAACTTTGGGGACTGTATTACTTGGAATAAATGATCAAGAAAATGCACTTGAATATATATATATATATACTGTTGTGATGGTAGAATTAAGTTGCAGGTAATGCTGGTTAAACTTTATGGTATTTCGAGTCTTTAAGTTCTTTTAATGTAGAAAGTAGATGCCACTGTAAGACCTGTTGTCCATTGATTTAATATCAGAAAAGTTCATGTAAAAATATTAATGGAATCAACATGCTATAAAATATTTATGCTACACTCTTTGTTCATTACTTTTTGTAAAGGGATATATGGCGAAAGTTGAATGTCCCAAGTGAAATAATACTCAGTTTTTTTTATCTGCTGTTCTCTGGGATAAATGCCTCTATAGATTGTATCAGACAACAATGTTATCATCTCTCACCAGCTAACCACTCATCACTGAGATATTATTTCAAAGATATTATATTATTTAGAAATTACCCTGGTGAAATAGCTGACAATAATATAATACCATGCTGGTTTTACTGGTCTTTGATGAGGTACCTGTATATTGCATGACTGATGTCATCCAGATGGATACCTGTGTGGGTGAATTAATTAATCCTGTAAATATGTCAGCCATTCCTCAATTTTTCAGTGAAAAGGTTCATTATTATGTCTGAAATGAATAGCTATAAACATCACATGCGGAAGATGAGCAATTAACACACTGAGTCAAAAGTTGACATTGGAAAGGTTTAAAGGACAGTTTTTTAATGTGAGTGTGCACAGCATTAGAACAACTTACGGATGGTAAACCATGTAATACCACGCTACATTGCATTTTAAATTCGTTTTTTCCTTGATTTGTATGCAATGGATAGAGCACAGCGCTAACAACTTCACAACAAAACACAATCTACCTGCATCATGTCATCTAATGGATAACTGATGCTTTCTATAAAATAAACATGTTTACAAACAACAAGTGAAAAGATACACATGCACTTTGATAATGTTCTTTAACCCGAGTGGTTTACCAGTACATCAAGGTTACCAAGGAAGGTGAAGTTTGCTGTTGATCTACATGTAAATTCCAGGGTATATTCATATTTAAAGCATATAATACTAGACTGTTCCAGCAGGATGTGGTACTTTGCACTGTCTACATTCCACATAGGTTAGGCTGACATTGATAAATAACCTCCAGTGTTTTCATTTCAGGACATCCTGTTCTTCGAATTCTGAAAGGAAAGCACAATTATTAATTTTTTTTTTTTAATCAACATTTTACAGTGTTTTCTAAATAAACTATTTCAACTGTTTTTCAGACAAAGTTGAGTACACCAGTCCTGATCAATAAGAGTTTACACCTGGAGTAAACATGGAGGTGAGAATGTAGTTAAATAGTTTTTGAAAAGCACACTCGAATATCACTGTCAATGATATTTGCATACTTAAAGAATATTTTGATATTTAACTACACAGCCAATAATATATGTGTCTTGATATAAATCAATACAAACAATGCACCAGGATATTTGAGGAAAACAACTGCAGGCACCAGACCAGGTACAGCATATCACTTAAAGTTAACTTTTTTACAATATTCTATTAATATTGCTAGTGACATATTCTCCACTCCAGAAAAAATGCCTATGCAATACAATGCTTTTATCACACAGCTTTATTTGTTAATTGATTATTGTACTCTGTGGTTTCAAGGTTATTTTTTATTTCCCGTAGAAGAAAGCAGGCAATTATCCAGAAGTAATTGACATGGAAGATGAAGATGTTGCAAACTTCAGCAGCCAGCAGAAGATGTTGGAAAGTAATGACAATGTTTTTGATGAGATCGTTGAAGAGGATGACGATAACCGTGGCAACTGGACTGGAAGATTTGACTTTTTATTATCTCTGTTAGGATATTCTGTTGGACTGGGCAATGTGTGGAGATTTCCTTACCTTGTCTATAGCAATGGTGGAGGTAGGCAATTACTTTTTATTATTTTTGTTTGTTTGTCTGTTTTTTTTATTTTTTTTTTTATTTATTTATTTTTTTTTTATAAATTTGGGGGGGGGGGGGGTCAACATTATTTCCAACAAAGGAAATATGTAATCAGTGAATTATTATTGACCACCCATTTAAAGAAGAGAAACAGTATACAGCAGCAAAATATCATAAGAAGAAACCTTGCCACCCAGTGGTTTTATATCTATTTCTATCTAAATAAAATCAGCATTACATTTAGATATAAATAGATACAAAAATTAAGATTTAAAAAAAAATGATTAAAATAAAGACGTTCAGGTCAGGGTTTCAGTGTGGCATGATACACACAAGCACAGTGTTGTGTTCTTTTAGAATTGGTTTTATTCAGATGCTCTGACTATGCCTGGAGATATATAGCGCCTGTTTGATTTTTGATATAAAAAAGCAGAAACTTTTAACTTGAAAAGCTTTCAGATCTACTAGAAGTCTTGATTAGAAAGTAGAGTTCTCTTAAGGGCATCATTTATCAAAACAACAGCCAATGAATCCTCAAAAAATCATGTGACTTTTTATTTAATTTAAACCCCATGATGTATGTCTCTGAAGGATGTGAAAATGGTAAATATATATCTGCCATGATGCTCTTTAACAGCCTTCCTGTAAATTGATGCATAATGCATATCCTGTTCCCTTGGTAATGATGTGGACATTTTATTGGCTCACAGCTTCTGGAGTAGATATTAAATCTCCTTAATTTAGTGAAAATGGACAAAGAGCTTTTAGAAGGACTGAGAAAATGAACAAAAAACTAAAACATATTTTGGAAAAAGAGCACAAGCATTACCAAAGATGCAAGTTTACAGTGGACTGATATTTTGGTGAAAGAAGCTGACCTTTACACACACACACACACACGTACTTGTCTATGTGTACCAACCGAGGACATCAGCACAACACCATACAACCGAGGACATCTTATTCCTTGGTTAAATCAAAATAAAAACATTCAATTTAGGGTAAAATCTATTCGAGTATGAATGTTATAAATTAATTTTTTATAAAAACTAATTTTTTGCTGACAAGAATTTTACATTCTAACCGAGGACACACACGGACACACACACGGACAGACACTACACATTACAACCGAGGACATGCATGCATCTACATGTAATAATGATTGTACTTTTAATGCAAAGCAAATTTTATATAGCGTTACTTTGCAGCAATTCACATTTTTATGAAATTCTTTCATATTTAAGGTAAATTCCAAAATAACACCAGAGGTGATGATTAAATGAACAGTTATACAATATTTAATGCTGGGCTTTGCCACTTTTTTAGAATTGAAGATTATGAGATAAAACATCAATTAATTTAGGAAAAGAAAGGATACTGATGAAATAAAATAAAAGACCAAAGAAATTCGTTTTCAAACATTTTATTTTCATAATGCTTATTTTCTATTTAGCACTCTTTTATTATCATGAATTTTATATTTTGATAACACAAAGTGTCGTCCATTGGATACAGACTTGAACAGTACACAATTTTACAATTGAGGACATCATGCCAGCAGCACCCAAAATTGTGCTTTCTTCCAATTTGATGCAATATTATATAATGCTTAACAGCATAATGATCATCAATTTTTTATAATAAAATATTAGTATCATGAATATTCAGAAAATGTGACTAGCAAAGGTTTTCAGGTTCATGGAACTCCAAAGTCATACTTTGAAAATGCTAAATGTATACAAGAGAGCACTGTACTGAAATGGGTTTCTTTCCATTTTTAACTTTTTTACATAAAATAATA